GATAGAATGGCTCCATCAGGACTGCTATTAGCATTCTTTCTTTTGAGGGACCAGTAATAATGTAGAAAGTAAATATGAGAATGAACTATGACCTGGTAAATATATCAGAATTCTATCTATCTATCTATCTATCTATCTATCTATCTATCTATCTATCTATCTATCTATCTATCTATCTATCTATCTATCTGTCTGTTTGTCTGTCTATCTATTTGTCTATCTATCTATCTATCTATCTATCTATCTATCTATTATTATTATTATTATTACACTGTATTTATATAGCGCCAACAGTTCGCTCATGCTGTACATTACAATGGGAGACAATACATGAGACAGTACAATAACAATACAATGCGATACACGAGGGGTTCGAGGGCCCTGCTCCTTGGAGCTTACAATCCAGGAGGGAGGGGATAGTGGTATGGGAGGGATAGCTGTGGGGGATGGAGTGGTAGGAAGAGTGGAGAAGATCGGCAATTAGCTGAGCGCAGGGTAGGCTTCCCTGAAGAGATGGGTTTTCAGGGTGCGCCTAAAAGAGAGGAGAGTAGGTGAAAGTCTGATGGATTGGGGTAGGGAGTTTCAGAGGATGGGGGAAGCCCTGGAGAAGTCCTGGAGGTGGGCAAGGGAGGAGGAAACCAGGGAACTAGAGAGAAGGAGGTCTTGTGAGGAGCGGAGAGTACATTTTGGGTGGTATTTGGATATCAGGTCAGTGATGTAGATTGGGGCAGTGTTATGGACAGCTTTGTATGTCAGTGTTAGCATTTTGAATTTGATCCGTTGGGCAATTGGAAGCCAGTGGAGGGATTGGCAGAGGGGGGGTGGCGGATATGGAGCGGTTGGTAAGGTGGATGAGTCTGGCCGCGGTATTCAGGATCAACTGAAGAGGGGATAGCCGGTGGTGAGGTAGGCCGGTGAGGAGGGAGTTACAGTAGTCAAGTCGTGATATGATAAGGGAGTGAATGAGTTGCTTAGTGGTTTTCAGGTTAGGAACGGATGTATTTTGGAGATGTAGTGGAGGTGGAGTCTACATGAGTTTGTCAGCGATTGGACCTGGGGCTGGAAGGACAGATTGGAGTCTAGGATGACGCAAGTACTCTGGCTTGCGGGGTGGGACTGATGGTGGCATTGTTGGTCGTGATGGAGAAGTCAGGGGAGTAGGGCACAGGCTGGGGGGAAAACTAGGAGCTCGGTTTTGGAAAGGTTCAGTTTGAGGAAGTGGAGTGACATCCAATCCAATATGTCGTTCAGTAGGCTAGTGATTCGGGCGGATTCTGAAGGGGTGAGGCGAGGGGTAGAGAGATAGATTTGCGTGTCGTCAGCATAGAGATGGTAGTTGAAGCCGTGAGAGTGTATCAGTTGACCAAGGGAGGAGGTGTAGATGGAGAAGAGAAGGGGCCCGAGGACAGAGCCTATCTATCTATCTATCTATCTATCTATCTATCTATCTATCTGTCTGTCTATCTATCTATTTGTCTATCTATCTATTTATATCTATCTCTCTCTCTCTCTCTCTCTCTCTATATATATATATACTGTATATATATAAATATATAGATATTGCTAATAATAAAACAAAATAAAATATTTCAGTGATCTAGTAAATAACATATCAGGTTCCTGGTGCATGTTTCTATATATCCTAGATAGTCCAAGACAATTCCCTTCATTCAGAGAACATGGAAAGAATATGTTGGACAATCATATACAATAAAATGTGTGACCTACACTGCTGCACCCCAAACAGTGGTCCAGCAGGAAGCCACCAATCAGTGATCAACAATTAAATTGATTATCAGTCCACAATTTCGCAAGCAGCAGCAGCACAAGTTCACAGTTTGAAGGCTTCTTCTATAGATAATGCATAATAAAAAAATAAAACAGAGACTAAATTAACCAAATACTAATATGCGCATACAAATACCCCCCACACACATTTCACCAGAACAGATTTAATTAGAGATACAAAACCTTATGTCAGTAATTACATTTTATGGTTACAAACCCATGTCTGTTGGGTCAATTATTTACTAAAAGAATATAAACATTGTTATGCTGGCAGCCCAAAATAAAGTGCTATCTCACCCAACAATGCCTGCATAGTTCTGGCACCAATAACAACTAACAGATGTGGGAGATGAGAGGCAGTGTTTGAAACTGTGCAGCTTCTAGCTGAGATAAATAGCCAGTGAACATCAATGTGAACACCAATGATTCTAGCTCCCACTGACAACTGTTTAAAGTGTATGTAAAACAATAAAGGTCTCATTTTTCTTTGTCGTCGATCTGTTAAATATTGCATTAGTAGCATATAGCTTTATCTGTCCATTAAAAGTAAAAACACTGTTGATCCTGCCAGAAATTTTGTTAGCAGATAACTTTCTGTGTTCTCTGCTCATTTTTCTTGCTGCCTGCTGCCTAGTGTTCAATGTTAAGCCAGCTGACGTTGGGGCCCATCTGTAGAGCAGTATACATGGAGCAGTCTCTATTGGCAATAATTGTGTGCAGCAAGGGATTGAGATTTGTAGTTCTGCTCACCACTCATGGTATACAACAGATCCGGTCCCATACGCTTTGCAGTCAGCTGTCCCAGAAGGCTCAGTTCTCACTATCAGGTCCTGTCAATCAGGTCCTCACTGATGTAGGCACACATGGCAACAGGTTTTACCACCTCTGGTTCCAACACATAGTGACTCTCTTTGGCTCAGTCCCTTATCTCTCTGGATACACAGAACACAGCAGCAAATCTGCACACGCTGTTTCTCCTCCATTGTTGTGCAAAACCTTGTGCACCTTGTAGTCCACAGCCCACTCACTTGTATTACACTTTGCTCCTTGGGGACTACATCTCCTACAATCCATGGCAGCTGCATTACAAATCATCTCTGCTAATGACTGGCTGAATACACAGCTGACAGGGTACCCAGCTACCAAGGTTAACTATTTTTAATTAAAATTAAAAAAATGTTATACTTGCCTGGTCCTTGCAACAGTATTATATATAGCGTAGATGAACATCCTCTTCTGGTGCTCTAAGCTACTCCTCTTCTCCCCACTTGCTATGGACACACAGCTTGGCTCGGCTCCGTCCCCATCCCCCTCTCACTGAATTTGACTGACAGCAGCAGGAGCCAATGGCTCTCGCTGCCCTCAACCAAGTCTATGAATGCAGGAAGAGAGAGAAAAGTAGGTCTGCCAGCAGGGACAGCACTGGATTGAGAGTAGTGTCAGGTAAGTGTTTAGTGGGAGGAGGCTCAAACAGTGGAAGCTTTTTTCATCTTAATGCATAAAATGCATTAGGTAAAACACCTTCTGCTTTTAGAACCACTTTAATTTCATCAAAGTGACCAGCTGGAGGTAGGCATATTAACCCATCTTTCCAATATGACATTGTGTAGATATTACTTTGCCAGGTAAAATTCTTCTGTCATGTCTACTGCATCTCCACCTCTGATTCCCTTTTTATTGCCACTAATTGTTGTCTAAAAATGTCTTTATTTAGTTTTTAATTTTATATTAGTTCATGTGTTTATATATAATTGATTTGCAATGCAGCAAAATAACTGTAAAGCATATTTTGTTTTTCAATGTTCAGATATTTTTAATACTAAGCTAATATCTGAAATAGAGTGCCTAATTGTTAAAAAAGACGAAGTGTCAGCTTCCTTGATATAGTTACTTATATGCGCTGTGCTGCATTAGTTAATTCACTGCAGACAAATGATAGCCCACAATGGTAAATGTATCATTCTGGATGAACCTGGTTGTTGTCAATTCAAGCAGTGCTCAAAACACTTTGCTTAGCTTAAATCCATGATTTGACAATAAATGGGTAATCCTTCTAATAGAGAATAACAGGACAAAGAAATGTAACAATTTAATTGGGCAACTATGGGGCAAATGAGGTTTACTGTTGATAAATGTAAGGTTGTGCACTTGGGAGCTAAGAATATGCATACATCATACATACTGGGGGGGTACAACTGGGGGAATCAATGGTGGAGAAGGATCTGGGAGTTCTGGTAGATCACAAGCTTAATAATGGCATGCAATGCCAAGCTGCGATTTCTAAAGCGAGCAAAATACTCTCTTGTATTAAAAGAGGTATAGACTCCAGAGAGAGAGATATCATTTTACCCCTGTGCAAATCATTAGTAAGACCTCATCTGGAATATGCAGTTCAGTTTTGGGCACCAACTCACATAAAAGAACATTGGGGAACTGGAGAAAGTACAGAGAAGGACAAACAAACTGATACAAGGCATGGAGGAGATCAGCTATGAGGAAAGATTAGATGAACTGAATTTATTACTCTTCTCTTGAGAAGAGGAGATTAAGGGGGGATATGATCAACATGATCATATACAGTAAATACAACAATATAAATACATCAGTAGTACATATAGTTAACTCGGGGTAGAGTTATTCACCCTGAGGTCATCACAGAGGACAAGGGGCACTTTTTACATCTGGAGGAAAATAAATTTAATCTCCAAATACGGGAAAGGGTTCTTCACAGTTAGGGCTCGTTCACACTTGACTGTTTTACCAACGCTTGCCAAATGCCCCTATAGCGTTTGGCAAGCATTGGTCCGGTGTTTGCAGAGCGTTTTTTAACACTCGACAAACGCTCTGCAAATGCCGCATGCGCGGTTTAGCGGCATTTGCTAGGCATTTGCCGAGCGTTAAAAACGCCCCACAAACACCTAGAATGAAGTTAGAATGGTGTTACCGCTCCGCAAACGCCCTGCAACTGCTTTGCAACTGCGCTGCAAATGCCGGCCGGGCGTTTGCGGAGCGGTACCATAGACAAGAATAGGAGGCTTCAACGCCTCCTGACTCGTCCAGAGGCGTCCGTTTTGCCGCACCGTGACGTGCCGCGACGCTACCACGTTTGACCTAAAGGGATGCTTTCTGGACGCCATGGACGTTTCTCAGTTTCCAGGCAGAAAGAACAGTCAAAATGTAGGCAGAGCACAGGACAGAGCACTAGGGACAAAATGTATGTGAAATGGTTTGATACAGTAATGTTTTACTATGTGATTTTAGTGTATTTAGCGAATGTCACTTTTTGTCATTTTCAAATTTCCCGCCGTTCCGTTCTCATACTTCCCGACGCTCGCAGGGGACGGAACCCAGATGACAGATGCCAGTATCCGCCGGATAACATTGCCGGGGACACTGCAGGAGGGACATCGCGGGAGCGCAGGACAAGGTAAATGCAAGAGGGATCCCGGAGCAGCGCCGCATGGTATTCCCGAGTGTAGCTCGGGGGTTACCGCTTGTGGTACTGAAATTTTACCCCGAGCTACACTCGGGAATACCACCAGGGAGGTTAAGGGAGTAGTTCTGATTAACATTGTAGAAGGTTATAAAATAGGGTTATACCACCTGATTTAAAAGTAGCGCAGCTATAAAATTGTAAAGATATTGTTTTAACTGGATGTTTCGACTGATGCATGTATAGGTTGATTTTTCCGAAGGGAGGAGGTTAAATTCTTTCATAATAAGGAATTCAAAATTTTTTATTTCGTTTTTAACATAAAAAATCTTGTATTGTGCATATGCCTTTGTGTTTCCAGTTCGAGGTATCTGTGCTAGGCATTACGACTTCTAAGGCTGTTATAGGTATAGGAAGAGGACTTATTCGGAGAGGATCTATAGGTATGGAGCTTAAAGATTTCCAGGCTTCAATTGAGGCTTGTATAGTTGGTGTTGTTTTACTAGTGGGAATCCTTTGCCATGAGCTCCCTAGTAGTAATCTGCAGTAGAGGCTAGAGTTTTTTCAATGTCACCCCATTTTGTATCATCTCCCACTATAAACCAATGTTTAAGTTGGTCTAATAATGATGCTTTGTGATAGTACCTAATGTCAACAAATCCCAATCCTCTTTTTTTTTGTGTTTGATTAATATATTATGCGAGCATCTAGGTCTCATATTTCCCCAGACGTATTTTTTAAGTATAGATTGTAGTTTTGTTAGATATGAAGATTTAATTGGGATTGGAATTGATCTAAATAGATATAAAATCTATGGCGATATGAACATTTTAAATGCAGCCAGTCTGCCAGACCAGGATAGTTAATGTTTAGCCATTTGATTAAAGTGGGTTTGCATTTTTGGAATTCATTTAGAATAATTCAGAGTTCCTAGGTCAAAGGTATTGTTTGTTAACAATATTCCAAGATAAGAAATGGTTTTATTTTCCCAGATATAGGGAAATTTGTTTTGGAGGTGCATTTTTAGAATGTGATCTGTATTATCTATAGTACATATAAGAATCAGGTACTAGCCTTCGGAGTCTGAGATATTTTTATGAAGAACAAAATTTAGTGTATCTCAAATAGCAGTGAGTACTCTTTTTTTTCAGAGGCATTGGCAGTATAGACATGTGAAAACTTTTTGTGCGCATTTAGGAGGGCCGAATCTATGAAATGAGTCTCTTGAACACAGAGTATATCACATTTATCTTTAAATGCCTGTTTCCACATGTTTGTACATTTGGCCAGATGATTAAAGCCATTGACATTTATAGAGATCATTTTTATACTCATTGAATAGATATATTTACAGATATTGGGGCTTAACCAAGGGGCCCCTAAAGCGGTAATACATTTTTATGCACATGTAAGTTAAACCATTTAGACTATCAGGAATTACACAATAGTAGAAACAAAAAGGAAAAAAATAAACAAATACAAATACTTGAACAGATAACAAATCAGTAAAAAATAGGATCTTAGCCAAGATCCGAACGCAATGAAAATTGCGTAGTACTTTTGGGGAAAAAACAAAACAAGTGATCTTGCCATTGGCAGGCATACTTACAGGTAGTGTGTTCGGTAAGGGTAGTACCATCAGTGCCTTACTTAAACATGAAATGACATCTAAGCAGGACCCATGAGATAAGATTGCAAATATACGGTCAATGTTTAGTTTGGCGTTTGTGAGTGACCAGGTTCCACTCTGGAGAAGCTCTGGTAGCAGTAGAATGTTGTGGGTCACTTTCCGGGAGAATGTCCCACTCTCTAAGACATTGCAGACCTTCCTATATGCTGTTGATTGTGATGATGGAGTCATTTCTGGTGATGATCAATTTAGTAGGGTGACCCCAACGATAAATCATTTGTGGTTTCGTAGAGCTTTTGCTATTGGGAGGAGCTTTTTCCTGAGTTGCATGGTGCACTTAGATAAATCTGTGAAAAGCTGTAAAGAGGAGAATTGTGCAGGCAAATTTTAGGGTTTGAGTACCATGATTTTTTCTTTGACATTAAAAAAATTAATTCTCATCAAGACATCTCAAGGTATTTTATCTGACAAATAGGATGGTTTGGGAAGGCGAAGTATTCTATCGATGGTCAGATCTGTGTTTGTAGCCTCAGGTAGGAGGGCACGAAATAGGGTGTATGCTCTCAATTGGTCAGTTGAATGTATAGATTCTGCAATGCTTCTTATTTTAATGTTGTTATGTTGTGATCTATCCTCCAGATCTGCTAATTTATTTTTAAGCCATTCAATTTCTTCATCCCTTTCATTGTGGGTGTCTACTAGGGTGTTAAAGGAAGTGACATATTCTCCCATTTTTGTTTCAACATGGTCAACTGTGTCACCAAGATCATTAATCTCTGATTTGATTTGTTGCATAGAGGTAATGATATCTGACTGTATGGATGATCTTAATGAAAGGAGCATCACCTTCATTAATGTATCAGAAATAGTCTGACTAGTAGTAGGAAAGTTAGCCATTGGATCTGAGAAATTACTTGCAGAATGTGAAGTATTAGTGTGAGAATCTGTTACAGCATGCTGTTGGTTAATATCTGTCATTCTAGGTTTAGATTTTGCTGGGCTCTCAATAGAGGAAGTAGAGAAGATAGAGCCATTTTTCTGCTTAACAGATGTCACAGGAGAAGCTGCAGAGACTTGCCTGTGTGCTAAGTGAGAGGAGGAGGATCCTGAGCTGCTGCTGCCATGTTGGGAATTGGTGTGATTCGGCTGAGGGGGAAACTCTGTTATTTCAGGAGTTTCCTCTTCTTTGTCATCTCCCTGAGGGTCACTGGGCTGTTGCCTCTCCTCTGGTCGCCTTTGGAGTATCAGGTCTGCCGCTGCTGTGTGCTGGCACTGTGAGTACAGCAGAGCGGTTATGCAGCCATTCAGCTTCCGCACCAGCCACGCCCATTTATAGGTAAAGTTGATCCAGGGAATATCCAATTGCATCTCTGGGGATCAGGAGGGAATTTTTTCAACTGCTGGAGCAAATTGGATCATGCTTTGCTGGGTTTTTTGCCTTCCTGGATCAACTGTGGGTGTAGGATTATAACGTTTTATTTATTTTTTTATGGTTGAACTGGATGGTCTTTTTTCAGCCAGACTAACTACAGTATGTAGCTATGTAACAAAAATTCTGGCCAATAAGAATTGGAAATGGGATGTGCCATTCCATTTTTGCTGAAAATATTAAAAGTTTTCTTTTTCCTCTTCTTCCCTAAGGGTATATGACTAGTTTCAAACTGTTAGCATTGATGGGGGAATCCCTCCCGCAGAGCTATTGTGTTCTCCCCGCTAGGGAACGTGAAGGGAGCTGTCCCTTCCGGGACTTAAGGCACTGGCAATAATAACATGAAAAATCTGGCAGGCTGGTTGTACCCAGGTCGTACAACAATCGGTACAACCAGCCATACTGTAGATGGTTCGGATCTCGGCGAATCCTTTCTGAACCAGCCGAGATTCAAACCATCTGTGTCCAGCTGTGCCAGTGGTCTTCCGTTAACTCCAGCCATATTACCACTGGCAGACAGTTCCCTGAACTCCATGCACTCTTTTTATGGCAGAGTGATATAGAATTTAGGAATATGGACACAGGGGCCAATTTCTCTTTTTAGTGAAACAAACTAGTTCAATATAGTTCTTCCTTAAAAGAGTTTTGAACTTATGAAGGCTAACTGTGGCATATTAGATATTTCAGATGTTTGTCAGACTCATCACTCATTACTTTGCACCGAGGCAAATCAAATCCCATCGTAAAGGCCAAAGAGCACCGTGCAGTACATAGGACACTACCCTACTCAAGCCCAGGTGGTCTTATAAGGAGGAGGAGATTTTTCTTGATACATAGGCAGCCTTCAGAGGTAAAGTACGTTTTTTAGCTCACCTCACAGTCAGACCTCTAAGTCAAAGCTGTCCCCTTGAGTGTTTCCACCTCCCAGCTGCTCTTCTGGGGGAGCCTGCAGCTGGCTTCATTGTCTCCAGAGGATGAAATTCTAAGAAAGAGAGTACAGAAACTTCCCAGAGTGACCAAAAGACCTGCTCTCTGCAAAAATATAACCTTCTCTGTTCATTTCCTTATGTATATACAGTATATATATATATATATTTATATTTATATATATATATATATATATATATATACACACTGTGGCCAAAAGTACACCCTTCAAAATCATTGGATTCTGGTGGACCAATTACCTCCACGGCCATTGGTCTGCACCTAGGCATGCAGACTGCTTCTACAAACATTTGTAAAAGAATGGGTCACTATCAAGAGCTCAGTGAATTCAAGCCTGGTACTGTGATAGGTTTCCACCTTTGTAATATGTCCATCTGTGAAATTTCCTAGCTACTAAATATTCCATGGTCAACTGTTAGTGGTGTTATAACAAAGTGGGAGCAACTGGGAAAACCAGTAATGCAAATCGTCAGATGCAGTGGTGTAAAGCACGTCATCACTGGACTTTAGAGCAGTGGAGATGTGTTCTCTGGAGTGACCAATCACGCTTCTCTGTCTGGAAATCCGATGGACATGTCTGGGTTTGGCATTTGCCAGGAGAACGGTACTTGCCTGACTGTATTGTGCCAAGTGTAAGGTTTGGTGGAGGGGGGATTATGATGTGAGGTTGTGTTTCAGTGATTGGGCTTGGCCCCTTAGTTCCAGTAAAGGGAACTCTTAAGGCTTCAGCATACCAAGACATTTTGGACAATTTCATGGTCCCAACTTTGTGGGAAGAGTCTGGGGATGGCCCCATCCTGTTTCAACATGGCTGCGCAGCAGTGCACAAAGCAAGGTCCATAAAGACATGGATGAGCGAGTTTGGGGTGGAAGTACTTGACTGCCTTGCACGGTCCTGACTTCAAGCCAATAGAACACCTTCGGGATGAATTTGAGTGCAGACTGTGAGCCAGGCATTCTCATTCGACATCAGTGCCTGACAGTCTGGAAGAATGGTCATACATTCCAATAGACACACTCCTAAACCTTGTGAACAGCCTTTTCAGAAAAGTTGAAGCTGTTGTAATTGCAAAGGGTGGGCCAGCTCAATATTGAACCCTACAGACTAAGAC